GGAGCAGGAATTGAGGATTTGGAAACCAAGAATTAAAGGTTTGGGAATCTCAGGAATTAAAGGTTTGGAGAACAGGAATTAAAGGTTTGGGAATCTCAGGAATTAAAGGTTTGGAGAACAGGAATTAAAGGTTCGGGAATCTCAGGAATTAAAGGTTTGGAGAACAGGAATTAAAGGTTCGGGAAGCTCGGGCCGTGTCCCCAGCTCTGGTCCCGGTTATTTTCTCCGTCCAATTCTCCCTCTGGCAGGTTTGGATCCGTGTTTTCCTGGAGGAGCGAGGTCCTGAGTCAGGCCAGGGGCTGGAGGACGCGGCTCTGGCTGAGCTGACTCACCCCAGTGCCCGAAACCAAACTGGGAGCACTGGGAGGGAGCTGGGCAGGGAAAAAATTCCCTTCCCGTGGCCAAAATTCCGGGTTTTTTTTTTTTGTTTGTTTTTTTGGGGTTTTTTTTGGTAGAAATGAAAACGATTTTGGGAGCGGAGGGAGGGCTCCGATCCCGGAGAAATTTTGTGCAGTCGGAGAAAAATCTTTGGGCAGGATCAGCCAAAAAAATTCTGCTGTGGTCAGGCCGGGCAAACAGCCCCGGGGTGTTTGAGTGAGGATGTGTCACATCCTTCTGTCCCTCTGTCCCTTTTCTGTCCCTCTGTCCCGGGCCACCTTCCCTGTGGCGTTTCCAGCTGTCCCCACAGCCCCAAAAATCTCCAAAAAAGCTCCAACAGCTCCTCCCATCACCCCACGGGGATTGCTGAGGGGGCCGCAGCGATTTAGGGGCGATTTGGGGATTTAGGGACTATTTAGGGCTGATTTAGGCTCGATTTAGAGACAATTTATGGTTGATTTATGGTTAATTTAGGGTGGATTTAGGGATTTTGGGTCGTGTCTGAGCGAGGAGGAGGAGGAGGAGCCGTTCCCCTGCCTTGAGACCCCTTGGGATTCGGGATTTGAGATTCAGGATTTGAGATGTGAGATTCGGGATTTGAGATTCGGGATTCAGGATTTGAGATTCGGGATTTGGAATTTGAGATTTGGGATTCAGGACTGGGGACTTGAAATTCGGGATTTGAGATTCGGGATTTTAGTTTTGGAATTCAGGATCTGAGATTCGGGATTTGAGATTCAGGATTCAGGATTTGGGATTCGGGATTTGGGATTTATTATTCAGGATTTGGGTCGATGCTGATCCCGCCCCGCTGACTCAGCAGTGACGGGGAGTGGGCGCAGCTCCTGCCTTGGACCGGGATTGCTGCTGGAAAAGGAGAGCGATGATGAGCGGTGATTTATCCCGGGATGGGCGATGATTTATCCCGGGATGAGCCGTGATTTATCCCGGGATG